TACCCTAAAACATATGGTACAAGAATTTCTAATTGTCAGCAAAAACACCCAATGCTAAACTTGATATAAAGACCATATTTTAGTTTACGCATATGTGTACCAGTATATTTTCAAAAAAACATTTAATACAAAGTTTTGATAAGAAAAATGCAAAAAAGTTAACTTGGAAAAATGTACTCATCAAAGACTGCAATTTTCTGAAGTATGCGTTAAAGGTTCATAGGTGTGATGCATTTAAGTTATTTAATATTTTATTAAAAATGTTACTTGATATTTACAGAGAATCGTGTTTATATTAAACAATTATAACTACAATAAAATAATCCTTGGATGATAAAAATGCTTATAAAATGTTCAAAATCTAAACAAAAAACGTTATGATAAATTTATAAAAACAGAAGTACAAAGGTACTGAAAAGGCTAGGCACTAAGAAGGTACTGAAAAGGGTAGGTACTAAGAAGGTGCTGAAGAGCCTGAAATGTTTTTTTATTACAGTAAACAAATTAAAAAAAAAAAATTCGATGCATATAAAAAAGTATGGTGTGTATAGTTAAAGATATAATAGGAAAAAACAAATAAAAATTCTATATTAAAAACAATTATATACCAACTCAAAAAGTTATAAATAAAACTGATATTTATTGCACAATATAAATTAAAAAAAAATTAACTAAGCATTATAATATGTTGGCCCTAAAATAAACAAAAAATAAATGTTGGCACAAACTTTACTTTTTGAATAGTTAAAGTAAAAAAAAAAAACATTTGCAGAGCTTTGATCCAAATTATAAAACATTCAATAAGCAAAGGGATTTTCCCAGAAACTCTGAGCTCTTTGTTTGTAAAGGTATGCCCAAATTCACAAACAAAATGATCAACCAGATATCTGGAGCTGTAGACCTTTATCAGTACATTTTTAATTTTAAAATATTTTCTAATAAGTCAATAAATATTTTACTAATAACAATTATTTATTTAACAAATTTTGTAAAAAGAATCTATCTGCTGACCAACTTCGCATCCCTTCTTCATCTGTTAGGCTGGCGTAGATGTATTTTTAATACATTTTTTTCCAGTGTAGGATGTTGAGTGCTGAATCTTCTTGACTCTATGCATTAGTTTTTTTTTGTGTCTCTATTTTTAAAATAGGCAACTCATTCTATTATCTTCTAATGAGAATACAGCTCTAAAACTCATTTTTCTGGTTCTTAGGCCAACTGGTAGTCAGTTTTCTCAAATTTTGTTGTAGCTCTTAGAGAGGCTGGTTCCATCAACAGCTTTAGAGTATCAGACCAGTAAAAAGAACCATGTTGTGCATGGATGGTGTTCCTGTTCTTACTTTTGGTGGGTATTGTCAAGACCATATATCGAGGCCTTTGTTACGGCTTTGGGAAAATTTCGTATAATACGAAAATACGAAATTTTCCCAAAGCCGTAACAAAGGCCGTAACGAAAACAGTTTACTTTATTTTTACGCGCCAAGTAATTTAATTTTCTCCGAATTACCTATTAAAAAATTCATGATAGTTTCTGAACTATCTTTTTATCGATAAAATAACTTACCATTAAACCAGGTCCTACAACACTTTCTTTCTAAAGGACCTTTTTTTTATTTAAGAAAAATCTTGATATAGAGGACTTTTTTCACTAATTGATTATTATGTCCCCCCTCCCACTTCAAAACCCGTGTCGTTGGCCCTGCAAACTCGCGGATAGACTCCATCCATGATGCATCTTATGATCTAAAAATTTACACATATGTTCATAATATGTATATCTAAAATTCCAGTTTACAACATATACTTATGCAAATAAAAGTAAATATATACGTATTTCATTTAAAAACAGTGATTTTTATGTCTATTTTGCTTAAAACTACTATTTAGTTGTAATTTAGACATATAGTAGTAAACTGGAATTTGAGATCTAATTGAAATTTATCTTTATAAGTAATAACATTGGTATTTAGGTAAACCGTCATTTAATCTAGATTATTTCTAGTTTTAATACGAGTTTTTAAAATAAATTGATTTTCAATATCTATCTAGCTTTTAAAGAGCAGATTTTATAAAAAACCACACGATATATCTTTACACTTAAAAATACATAGTATACAAAAATACATAAATATTTATCTATTGTCCTAATTCAATGATAAAGATGGTAATTTTTTGCAGCTTTTCATAAAGCTTAAAAATTGCAGAACGTTTTGGACCAAATTTCGTATTTGTTAAAATAAAGCCGTGTAGTTAAATTTGTTAAAATAAAGCTATGGGAATTTTTAAAGCAAAAAATATCGCCGTGATCATTAACTAAAATTCGTGGTCTCAAAGTCACTTTTCTTCTGTTGAGTCTTATTTCTCGTAAAGTTCACCAGGCCTATTAACTAATTGTAAGACTAATTTGAGTTTAGCTGTTTTATCATGTGATCATAGTGTTGATGGTTATCTTTCTTTAATTCGTAAAGACTTCAATAGTAACATGCTTGGCCCCTGCGCCTTTACATTCGTAAGAACTCATCCATTTTCCTGAAAATTAGGTTTGAATCCACTGACTATTTTTTGATGTGCTTTTGTTTAACACCACTTCACTCTATCACCATTCTCTTTGTTCTATATTGTTCTCTTTCATCTTGAGATTGCACTCTTTTTAATGTTATTTCTGATCAAGTTGACCAAGCTCTTTCTCCTTATCCTTTTGCCTTTTTAAATCTTTAACTCAAACAATCAACTTTCCAACTCGATTTTCAGACAAATAGTTTAACTTCTCTACTCGAATTATGTCTTGTTTCTGATCCTAGTTAGTACTCAGTGTCTCCCCATTCGCCCTTAGGTGCTTCTGATCACGGTTTAATCTCTCTAAAACTATTATCTCATTTTTCTTCATTATCAAAGTCTACATTATCAAAATCCCCTTATCACTGTACCTCTTACAACTACCTCTACACTTATAACTAGAGATTTGACTCGTTTAACTACCGTCTTATTAGTTTTCATACTATAATAAGCAAGGTTGTGGATCTTTAATTAGTCCTTAAGCAGCCGTGGCGCAGTGGTAGCGCACTTGCCTTAGAAACGTAAGATCCGTGGTTCAAACCCCACCTCTGAGCAAGTTTTACGACATCGGTTGGGAAGGAGGCGTGAACTTCCTATTAAATGCTCTTCCGCGGTTCTCTGTGATAAGACCCTTAGGACTTCTTGGGGCACCTAAATCAACGTAAAAAAAAAATTACATACTTAATCTCTCATCTTGAATTTAATAGTTTACTTTCTGACCATCAATACAGATTTTAATTTTTTTATTTTACTGCTGATTTGTTAACCAAGTTACCAAGTTCTTAATTAGAAACCAATTATTAAGCTTATTATACGTAACAAAATTAGAAGCCAATTATTAAGCCAAATTATACGTAACAAGTTACGTATGAGTTGTCAATAAACCACTAATATTCACGCTCCTTCCCTGCTCCCCCCATCACCAAAGTGTGACCTAATTTATGGACCCCTTGTTTCTATTACGGAGCTTCAAAAGTTAGTTTATTACGGCTATTTTTGAAGCTGAGCCTTAAAAGCATAAAATCAAGTAGTTTTGATTAATGGCTCTGCTAAAAAAAACTTATTGACTTATTACTAGAGGGTTGTTAACGACCCGTTTTGGTGCGAAAGAGTTAATGGGCGCTGGTTTAAAGAGCTAGCGTCCCTTGTGCCATTTGCTGAAATCCATTCTTGTGTTACTCTTCATTCAATTAAGTCTCATGTTTTTACTGTGACTGTTCCTAAGACGTCCAAAAATTCTTTTCATTTAGTTTTTTTTCCTTAAATAACAATTTTTTAGAATTCGCTACCTTCATCTTGTTTTCCTGATTCAAATAATTTGCAATCTTTTAAGCCGTCTGTTAGTGTTTCTTTTTCTTAATAAACTCCATCTTTTCTTTTTCTGTAATTTCAAACTTTAGCAAGGGTTGCTTGCAGCTTTGTTAAAAGGGGAGTTGTTAAAAAAAAAAAAAAAATTGATGAAGGAAAACACTATGTTTAATTTAAATAATAAGTTTTAATTAGTAATTTCTTGGCCCACTCAATTTTTGTTTATAATTATAATAATGTTTATAATTTTTTTGTTTATAATTATAATAATTGTTTATAATTATAATAATTATAATTATAATAAAAATAATTAAAGCAACCGTGGCGCAGTAGCCTCAGAAACGTAAGATCCGTGGTTCAAACCCACCTCTGGGCAAGTTTTGCGACATCGGTTGGGAAGGAGGCGTGAACTTCCTATTAAATGCTCTTCCGCGGTGCTCTGTGATTAGAACAAAAGGACTTCTTGGAGCACCTTAATCAACTTAAAAAAAAATAATAATAATGCATCAACAAAGCTAAACTTGATAATATTTGCTGACGATGCAAATTTTTCAATTAATGATATCAAGAAAGTTTATTCTGAAGTGAAATTTGAAATAAGAAATGTTAATGAATGAAAACCTAATAAGCTCTCATTTAATGTAGTTAAAACAAATTATACAAGAAAAAAAATTTTCCTATAAATATATATCCCATTTTGAATGGTACGCAAATATGCAAAAAATGATTCCATAAAATTCTTAATAACTCCTATTGATGTCAGTATTGATGATTTTATTACATGAATTATATTCAATAACAAATGAATAAAAATATTTTTATATACCAAATCCGTCAATATGTAACTTCAGAAATTCTGAAACTAATACATTTAGGTCTAATACGTCTACTCTGATTTACTGTTCCAATACATTCTACATGACCTAGTTTTGACCAAAGAAACTTAGTAAAATACTTTTTCTTTAAAATATTTTTTCTTCAAAATTTCTTTTCAATTTGATTATTTTATTAAATAAACAACAAAATAATTTAAAAAGCCACATAATGTGGTTTTTCAATAAAAATTATTAAAAAAAAATTTACCTTATTTATCAATTATAAAACTTATCAATAAAAATTATTAAAAAAAAATTTACCTTATTTTTCCTCTGAAAAGTTCAAGTGATAGAAAATTTTTTTTAGTTGCTCCTTGAGCTAAAAAAATCAAGCCAGAAGCATCTATAGTTTTAAAACGAAACTTTATATGGTTTTTCTGAGTTTCAAATGGTGGTTGACGGAAAATTAAAAAGGAATTAGTATCCACATCAATTTCTAAACAAACAAAAAAAATAGAATGTCGTAAACTATTAATTTTATCAATAAAATTCATTTTTAATACAAAGAAATTTATATATATATATATATATATATATATATATATATATATATATATATATATATATATATATATATATATATATATATATATATATTTATATATATATATATATATATATATATATATATATATATATATATATATATATATATATATATATATATATATATATATATATATATATATATATATATATATATATATAACAAACTTTCACATAAAAATAAAAAAGTTTTACTTTATATTTTATGAATTATAGAAAAATTTTATAAATAAATATTTACAGATAAAAACTTAAAGAAAAAAATGATAGTTGTTAATTAAAATAAGGCAAATATTTTTTTCAATAAAACTTTATTCAAGTAGTTGTATTTAGGTTATGTTGTTAACATTTTATTACAAGAAGAGGAGAGTTGCTTTAATTGGAACAATTTAGGAATAAATATTTATTAAACGAATATGCTTAACTATGAAAACATTTATGATTTGATTATTACAAACAGACATCCCTACTATACCTTTAACCACAATTTGACTTAATTGACTGCACTGTTATTGGAAATATTTTTTTTTTGCAAAGCTACCATTAGGTTCCAATCAAAGCAACTGGTTCCCTAAATTGGAACACTTTGATTCCTTAATTATAACAGGTTATTTTAAAAAAACAAACAAACAGTAAAATTAACAAAAATTTGAAAAAAATGATTTTCATTTTTACAATTAAATTTAAACAGCTCCTTTAAAACTTATAATAGGATTAGTATTACCCTGATAAATTTAAAGTCTACAAACAAAAAATTGTATAAAGCTTCAACTGTTATGACTTTCTCTCAATTTATTGATTAAAAATCACTAAATTAAGTATTGTTTTTAGGATTTATGGTTGCTTCTAAGTATTTTTTAATTGCATTTGAACTATTTTTACAACTCTTTGATTTTATTACTGATTAGGTAAGAAAAATTTCAATGTTCCAATTAAGGAAACTTTCGACTATTTTATTATATCACTACAGTAACATGCTTGCAGCAACTTATAAGATAAGATTATATAGTTATTTTGCATTTGCGATTGCATTGCTAAAATTGCACGCAAAAAACTTTAAATCATTGGTGCAAGCGCATTTTTCGAGGAATAACTTTCAAAATGTGTCAAAGCGTATAAAATAATGCGTTTTACTAAAAAAATGTAAAATATAGTAATTCATTTTTTTTCAAAAATAAATCCAAGTGTTCCAATTAAGGCGCTCTTCCAATTTCGGAAACTCTTCCCTAACATGCATTTAGCCGTAAAGTTTACGCCTCCCTTCTAACCAATGATGCATATGTTACGAGATCCGGCTTTGAACTACGGAACTCCAGTTTTGAAGCCAAAACTCTAAGTACTATACCAAGAATGCTTTTATAGTTACTTTTGTGCAAAAATCTAGATATCAAAAGGTAATTAAAAAAATAGTAAAGCTACTGATGTCATTAAAATTATTTTTAATGAAAATTATGTGTTATTATTAAATAAAGACTTAGTACCGTATGCGACTACAAATTTCTTGAAAAAATTATTTTTTGAACAAAATTAAAGTAGAAACTCGACGCTTAAAAAAAGTATTTATTTTTTTAAAAATGTTTCGAAAGACACTTAACACATTTTTGTTCTATACCTTAGCTTCAATCGTAGCTTTTCACTTTTTAACATTGATTCAGAGCTTGACATGGTTTTCCAGGATTCAAAATTTATTGGTGTCAACTTTCTGATCAGATTTGATAAAAACCGGAGGTATTTTGAGATCATCAAAAAAAAAACCAGGCCAAACATTATAACTATAACCGGAAGTTTGGTCTTGAATTTAAACTTTTCGTCCACTTTGTAAAAATTGTTTTTTATTTTATTCTCAGATAAAAATTATTTACTGTTTGTTTATTTGCTTCCAGAAGAGAATTGGTCTTTAAAGTTTCCAAATCTTTTTTCTTTGACACTTAAGAAAACCAGGTGTTTCTTAATTCTGGTTGTTGACTTTACCTTAAGATTCTTTCTGACCATGTTTCTGATGGTGCTCATTTTCCATGAGAGATCTTTTGCCTTTTCCCTTTATGACCTTACTGGATTCTAAGAAATTCACCCCCTAACTTAACAATTTAGAAGTTTGAACTGACCTCTTTAAACCACTGCCTAGCTTACTATTTACACCGTCAGTTATTTGGACAAGTGTAATCACAATGTAGGCAGTACTTAGAGGCTTGTTTAGCATCTTGGAAATGCCTAATGGCGTGTTTCCATTTATAAACAGGTCAACAATTGGTTAAATTTTACTACTAATTTTCCTATTTTGGTTGTTTTTTGGTTTATTTTTATTTTCAAAGTTTTATGCGTTGAGATTAACTAATTTTTATTGAGATTTGCGAATTTGCTAAAAATATTTCCACAAACAAAATGTGGAAATATTTTTAGCAAAGCAGCAACTTCTAAATCATCATGACCGCAATATATCGCTTCATTGACCCAATAGTAATAAATGAATTGGGGTCAACAAAATTGTTCTAATGAGAGGTGCCTTCTGTTTCGGAGATTTTAAAGCGCAAATAATGTTACCTGTCTATTTAATATCATAATTAAATATTATAAAAATAAAAAAAAATTGAACAAAATTATATAAATAACAAGAATAGAAACATTGAAAATAATATTAATAATAAAAAAAAAATAATAATAATAATAAAAACAGGACTAAAGTGTTAAATATATATATATATATATATATATATATATATATATATATATATATATATATATATATATATATATATATATATATATATATATATATATATATACTAAATTTAGTGCTCGCAAGAGATTTATTTAGAAAATTATGAACATTATTATTCGCCTGTGTCAGCTCTTCGGAAGATACAGTAATTTGATTGATGCAAGGCGTTAACACCACAACAAAAGGAAAAAACATTAAAAAAAAAAAAAACGTTTTAATTTCTTCAATAGCGGTTTCTCTGTGACAAAACCTTTTGGTCTTCTTTGAGTATCCGAGTTCTTTATTTTCATTTTTTATACTTTATTTCTTAACGATATCTTGACTTGTTATCTTTTCTTTTTTTAATACTATTTGTAACTTATGTATCATAAATATTGTAATAAAGAACAAAAAAAAAATTCGAGAAAAATTCGAGAAAAATTTTATTTATATATAGATATTATATTTTATTCATTTATGTTGGGTGCTTGACCCAGCTGAGTAAGTAAAATTCAAAGATTCAAAGGTTCAAATCTTCAATGACTACTCATTTTGTTAGATATTTCAACAACTGCAAAGAAAGTATGTTTTAAAATTTAACCTTGTCGTAATCTTTTATTTGAAATGTTTCTTAAACTTGTAACTAAGCTTTGGTGTTAATTTCTGAGACGTATTTATATGTCTAAAATTTCAACTTTTATAAATTTTTTGTAAGTAATTTTTTGTTAGCAATTTTCTTGAAATAAAATAAATATTTTCAAATTTCTATTGAGGAGATATCATTCTCTTTACTGCACAAGTTTGTGAAATTCAGCAAAGCAATTACGTGTTTTAGTGTAGCACAGGCTCACACCACATGTGTCACAGAAACTGTCAGTGCGGTTTTCAATACCATGCTTGGCACATTGAGCACATCGTTTGCGATGTTCTTTCCTGCTCAAGCAGTGTTGTGGTTTTGGTGTTGTTAGGAGAGATCTTGACGCTGACCTAACAGCTGCTAATGGAGCATTTCGTTGTCTGTTAGAATATTGACCAATAAGACTTCTTGCTACCATTTGTCTATATTGTAGTGGTGTTATTGACTTGTACTCTGAATTTCTCTCTTGATTGATTTGTACATAAATACAATGGCTGTTGTTCACAGCAATATCAAGAAGATCAAAAAAAATTCTTAATTAATACTTGATTTTAGACTTTCGATCAGTCTCATAAGATTTTTTTTTGGTCCATGAGGTCAACACCACCCATAAACTTGTTGTAAAGTGTAACAATAGTTGGACATGGAACTCGTAACTTTTCTGCGCATCCTGCATTCCTCCTAAGAACAAGCGATACATTATCTTTTGAACATGGTATAAAATTAGACAACAGAGTTACTGATCTGTTATCTATCCATTTGACACAAGTAATCCCATTAGCTGTCATAGCATCCATGTCTCCTCGCTTCATTTCCTTGTCTGGTTTGGCAATTTGAAGTTATTTGGCATATACTTTCTGTCAATACGAACAGTGCCACATTAATTAATTTTTTTTTGTAGCATGTGAACTAAGACCTAAAAAAGTCGTACTATTTATCTGTTCATTAAGAGTCCAACTTAACGGGGCTTTACTGTATATATATGTATATATATATATATATATATATATGTATATATATATATATATATATATATAAATATATATATATATATATATATATATATATATATATATATATATATATATATATATATATATATATATATATATATATATATATATATATATATATATATAATAGTGGCGAGTTAAAGAAGTTATCTATAAAAACATGACAACACAACTCATCGATTTTTTTTGACAAAATGACAACAACACTCTCACCAAGGCCATATTCTGTGCTTAATTTGCGTCCTGTATAAAGATCAAACTGATAAAGGTAGCCTGTTACAGCATCACATCTGCACCACAACTTAAATCCCCACCTAATGGGTTTATTTTTTATGTATTGTTTCATGATGTTTTGACCTTTAAATCTAATCATGTATTCATCTATTGACTGCTGCTTTCTTGCATTTCTGGTAGATTGGAAGCAAATATTAAAGTGATTGATCAACGGGCAGACTTTGAAAGCCCGATCACACTGTGGATGACTTCTTGGTAACATTTCATCCTTATTTGCAAAATGCAATGCTGAACGAATTGTCTCAAAT